CACATACTTGTCCTGCAGGGGTTGTAGTTGCCACAGTCTCGTTCCCCGATGATTCGGGGAGGTGGGGTAGGTAGGTGCGCATTGGAGGCGGGAGCTCATAAATTAGTGCGTAAATACAGCATTGTCACCTGCACTGTGTCACCTGTGGCGTAGGTATGGCCTCAGCTTATCTATCAGGGGTCGAGGTTACAATTCTGCGATGCGCTCCGTACTATTATATGGGTGATAAACTTGGCCTCTGCGCACCGAGGACGTCAAGAGACTTCCAGTGTTTGACCATCGATGTCTTCGGAGCATTGCTCGAGTCTGGTGGGGACACCGGATCAGCAATGCTGAAGTACGTCGAATGGTTTTCGGGAGAAATAACTCACCCCTGATAGATAAACTGATCGCACTGCATAGGTTGCACTCTCTTGGCGACGTGCTGGGTATGGCACTCGACCGACTTCCTCGAAGGGCTCTTTTTGCAGAACCACGTGAAGGATGGAATAGAGTCAGAGGCGGACAAACAACGACTTGGCGGCGAAGTGTGAAAGCCCTTACCAACAAACTCCGCTGCACTGGTCATTGCCGTCTTCCTGGATGGCGGCCCCAAGGCGGGCCATATCGATGGTCAGAGACATTGGCAGACATGCCCCAGTCGTGCCCTAAATGCTGCTTATGCATCCAAATCATTGCTCTGAATGCATGACGCCCTTCCGGATCCTCCCACCCAAAAGCTTACTGACAACCCTGTATTACACACCACTTTATCCGCTCCCGCTCAATGCGCACCTACTTGCCCCATCTCCCCAAATCATCGATGAACGAAACTGTGGCAGCTGCAACCATTGTACCGCAAGTGGGGGGTTCTTACAGCTGATACTGATGATGGTGATGATGATGATAATGGTGATGGTGGCCGAGATGACCAAGTTCCCCTTGTGATATAAATCCCCTCACCAGATAGTCGTTTTATTCTGTCCCGTCCGTGTTCTCAAAGATGATTTAGTGTGTAACTGAAGAAAGAAAAGTAATCGCCAGTCTATTTGACCGATAGGTCTCCAGATATCTCGGAGCGTCACGGTGCTGTGGTTATCGGGCCTTGAAATGCTGCGACTTTGTCATTCCGGTTTGTCGTCCAACATCTTCGACCGCCTTTGGAAAACAAGGAAAAAGAAGGGGAGACATTTCTTGTTGATAAACTCAAATGTCCTTGTTCAGTTTCTAATTTTCTGCGGATGACATTTCTAGGTCTTATTTTGTAAATTCTAACTACTACTTTAACCTTTGCGTGTAATAAAAATCGGCTAAATTCCTTCACTTATCGCCTTTCTCAGGAGGCTAAGTAAAATTTGATTGTTCAACTGTATTCATATTTCATTATCAAACTTATTATTGATGTTTCAGCTCTGAATCGGCCAGATGGAGCAGGTCACCTGGTGTTTTGCTGTTCCATTGTATCCAATACATTTTCAAAACACCGTCGGAGCCGTAATGCAGCACGTCGCCTCATATGTAAACCGGTTTGTTCCCGATTTGAACGCACTTCTGGTAAAGTTTGAAAAAGAAACCTTACGTCTGTTGACTTCGGATGAGAATCCCGGTGTCTCACATTGTACACTTGTTCCCATCCGTCCGGAATTACCAACCTTGTATATCCGTGCGCAACTCGCCGTGTCTGTGTTTTCTCCGCGCGTTGGTATGCAGATGACAGCCACAGTCTCGGCCTTAATGTCTCGTTTGATCATATGCAAAACGGATATCCCAAATGTCAGTTTAAGTGTTCCACTTTGTCCGGAAAATGATGTATCCAACGCTAGCTTGAGTTCCGAGAAGAAGATTATGGATACAACAGTAAGGGTAAACGACGTCATTCGTGTTCGGTTGTCTGCGGTGTCCCTTCATCCGAACGTAGTGTTGCTTCGTGGTAACCTCATTGGTGTTCTCTCTAGTGACGCTGACCCGGTTCCAATGCTAGCTAGTAAGGATTTGCATAATTCGGGTGATGGAGGTGACAGTTTATTTGCAAAGGCAAGGAAACGTAGGAAGGCGATTTCACCGGATGTCTTGAAATCGAATGAAGAAATGATAACCATCAAAAGTGAACCTGAACCCGAACAATGGATTCAAAAAAAGCGTCCTTTTACGGAGAATGAGCAGCCCGTGGACATGTCATCAGCGGACTCGAGTGATGTGATAGAACCACCAAAGAAAAAGAAACGAAAATCAGAGCTTGAATTGAGCTCCTCTGTTGTCGGTAGTTTGATCAAGCTGGCTTTACCTGCATCCTCGGACGGAGTACATGTTTCTGCAGAGGACTACAAAGTCATTGTTGAGACGCCCGTCTCACATACTTCATCTAAATCTTCCCCAACAACCAGTAGGACTCGATTTAAACAGGATGTTTCATCTTTCTACAATAAACCAGAGCCTTTTTGATACCAAACGGGAATTTTTTATTCGTTCTCTTTAACTTATTTGGATGTTAACTTGGTCACCTTGGGTTTTCGCGAATGACATAAACATGGTGTATATTTAGGATGTTCTGTGGGACAGGTTTTCTTGGGCACTCGGAGAACTACTACTCAGATTCTGCTGAGTTGCAGCGAAATTCTTGCTTGAAGCAGTTACTCAACAATTCCGCGCTTCCTGGTATTCCACAAAGAAAAGAGCAGTTTTTGAGCCAGAGAACCTTCTCATTCTAATTCAGTGCTTTCGCACTTCGAAATTAGGCGAATAGGTATGCTTCCTTATGTAAAAGCTTCATCCGCATAGAATTTCAATATCTGGATAACGCTTCTGCGTGACCAACTACCATCTCCTTTTTCCGTTTCCCAGTAGGACGCTATCGAGATAAGAAAGTGATGGATCGCATAAGTTTTACAAGCAGTCTGACAAACACGGACGACCAATTACCGGTCTGTACGGTGACGAGCTTCTAACCTGAGTGCCCCCGATATGTGTCGTATCCTAAATAGCTGCTCATGTATAGTCTATGTAGATGAACTCTGTTTCTGCTTTCACTTTGTTACTTCATATCGCCGCTTACTTCATTAAGTCAGTCGATTATGTATCAAGAAACCCTGCGAATAAGTTGTTGTTACGCACTCGACTTTTGTCGAGTTACACTATTAGATCCTATTCCTATCCACGCTTTTGATATGTCCACACATGTCCGATTGCCTGTGATATCTTTTTATACTTCCATTTATCCAAATAATTAGGCTGTGTCTATTATGAAACTCTGCTAAATGCGCGAACTGGATTCATCGATTCAGCATAATGAAGCAGGATCTACACTCAATAAATTTACGTAGGACGGGTGGTACTTGGGCGATTTCGTGCAGCTTTGAGCTGTTTTATGAAGTAATATAGTCAATTTTACGTTAGTTAGTGCAATTCAGGAGTACACTTACATTTATTCACTTTGTGCACGTTTTTTGTAGCGACAAAGCATAATTTCATCGAAATACAATATCTCTATATCTCCGGTGGTTCAAGCCTAAGTGGACTATAAAGTACCAGTGGGATAATTTCCAGAATAAATTTGCTTAGTGGCACCGAAGTGGCCTATGGAGGTGGCCGTTTGTCGCACTAAATAACGGCGTCCTGGTCCTTTTTGATTGCCCACCTCGCTTGAATGTTCAGTTTTAACTGATGGATCAAGTGGATGGAGCACGAATCTACTGACCGGAAGGTCCGTGGTTCGAACCCGACCTCTGCCACTCGACTTCCCCTGTCTAGGCTTGGGCGACCTGGCAATATCCCAGCCCTCGTGCCTCCTTCGTGTGGCATGGCAGCTAGGCACCGAAATGGTGCTACAGCTGAACGACCT